CAAGAACAGTAATAATTAGGAAGGCAACGATATCTTATTTCTCTATAAAAGGGACACACTAATAGAAAATGATACTCATTTTCAACAACATTCATGTTACAACGTAAACAGATTCGTTCAGATCTTGGAATATTCCTGTGTCTACCTTCCTCTATCAGTAATTTGTGAGCAGAACATCTAAATCGACATAAAGTAGTACGATAATTTAAATTTCTAACACACAACAAATATTTTTCCGCAACATGTTCATTTTTAAATATGCAATAAGTTTCTAATTTAGGTAAACTGTTGATTTCACTTTGCCATTGTTGTAAGTATTGATCTCTTATTCGTGCTATTAAAATATTTAGTTGATCATTTGTAATATTTTGATTATTCCATAAAAAAGGAAAACCTAACTCATTCAACAAATCTCGTACATCACTGGACCACTTGTTTAATAGAACATCATTATCATTTCTCATACTATAAATTCTATAAATAAGTTTGTCGTTATTCTTAAGAATTCTGTACCAAAATTTCAATATCCTTATCTTTCTATATACAATTAATGGAAATCTTCCTAATTCTCCATACACTGTTGTATTTACAGTTTGTTGCCTTACACCTAACAACTGTTTCAAAAATTTCAAATGTACTCTTTCAATGTCAGGGGATTTATGTAGCCCCCATATTTCTGATCCATAATTTAAAATAGGTAATATCATGGTATCAAATAATTTTAATTTATCTGGTATCTCAAAATTAACTTTATCAAATAATGCATTTAAAGAAAACAAAGCTTTTAAAGCTTGATTAGCAAGCGATTTTTGTGCTTGATAAAAACGACCATTAGAAGAAAGCGTCACACCTAAGTATGTTAAAGTTCTCACAACTTCTAGTTTTTCACTATCATAGAATATATCATAATCTTGAGTTCTGTTTCCAGATTTACAAACCATGACTACAGTTTTATCAGTATTAACAGTAATATTCCATGCTTTACAATACATGTTCATGTTATTTAACAAATTTTGTAGACCTTCAACAGTATATGAAAATAAAACAGTGTCGTCAGCAAATAATAACATAAACATCTGCATTTCATCTAGACTGAAAATATCATCAGATTGCGTCAACATACAATTATACATATCATTTATGAAAAATGAAAACATAAGAGGAGACAATGGCTCTCCTTGTTTCACGCCCATAAAAGTTTGGAAATCATCTGTCAAAGACCATTCACCCTTATACATGATCTAACGTTGTCATACATAATTCGTAACATGTTAACTATTTTTGAAGAAGCTCCATTTGTTATAAGTTTATACCAAACACCGTCCCTGTAAACAACATCAAACGCCTTTTTAAAATCAATAAAAGCTAAAAACAGTTTCTTTTTTCATTGTGTAATATTTTGTTTATGATAGAATTTAAAACAAAAATACAATCTATTGTACTTCTTCCTTTACGGAATCCAAATTGAACATCTGTCAATAAATTATTACTATCAGCCCATTTCCTTAATCTATTATCTAATAAAATTGAGAAAATTTTAGCAAAAACGCTTGTAAGTGTTATCCCTCTATAATTATTTACATCATTTAAGTCTCCCTTTTTAGGTACTGGCACAATAATTCCTTTAGTCCAACTAATAGGATATATACAATTTGAATACATATAATTAAACAATTTACAAATCACTGGTGCTAAAAATTGCTTACATTCCAAAAATATTTCAGGTATAAGTAAATCTTCACCAGCACTTTTACCTCTTTTAAGTGAAGATATAGCATGATCAACTTCTTCTACACTAAAATCCTTATCCAGCTCATAAACAACATTAGAGTTAAAGTTATCATCACTTAAATTCGCCTCTACATTTTCATCATTAAAAATATCACAACTCGTAAATAATTCTTTAAAATGATTAAAAAAATCATCTTTACTTAACGTACTACTGTTTTTATTATAAGATTTTAGCTTCTTTATTTAAGACCAAAATTTTTGTGGTTGTTTTTTCGATAGCTCGTGCAATTTATGTTTTTGATTTTGCTTGTACTTTGATATTGCTTTTCGCTTAGATTGTTTATATCTTCTTCTGTTGATAATCAATAAGTTAACATTTTCAGACGATTTATCATACCTATATTTTCTATTAGCTAACATCAATTCGCGTCGAGCATTTTCACAGTCTTCATTAAACCACGAGCTTTGAAATTTCCTTTCACTCTTTCTATCTGCATCTTTATAAATATGCTTATTTGAACCAAAAATAGAAAAGGCTTCATCATAAAGAATACTTGACAAGTCACTTATTCCACTATCTAGGTCAATATCTGACGAAATAATACTATCGACAATATTACCAATTACGGGCATTTCCGTTGACATAATATTCTTATAATCTATCAACTTTTCTTCTTTAAAACGAAGTTTACAAACATTTGCACTAATAACATTATTACATAAAACATTTTCACAAAATACATCAAAACTTATCTGTATAGGCGCATGTGTTGAGCATGTATAAACATCGTGGACAATAAATTCAGAAATAAAGGGAAATAACTCGTAAGAGCATATAACGTAATCAATCAAACTATTTCCATTCGAACTCATATTGGTAAAACCACCAATCCCAGCATCGTCACCACAACGCCCATTTACAATTTTAAGTGAGCTACTTCTACATATATCTAATAATTTTATACCCGAGGTATTGACAGTTTCATCCATAGAAAATCTATGAGGAAAATTCGATTCATTAATACAATATTCATTTTCATCTAACACATGTATAAATCTATCAAAATCTGTACAGTTTTGTAAAATATCAGACCTTTTTCCGCATCTTGAATTCAAATCACCAATTATCGACACGGTACCTAATTCCGTATATTTACGAATGTTTAATTCAAGTGACTCAAAAAATCCAATTTCATGCAAATTATAATATATAGAGTTACTGGGTGGTATATAAAGAAAACAAACATACATATCTTGTAATAATCGAAAAAAATGCTTGCAAAATTTAACCCATATTATACCTGAGTAATCTATTTCACTAATACTTATTCCATCCTTATATATTTCTTTATAAAACAAATAAATACCGCCATGACCCCTCTTAGACTTTAAGCTTTCCCTTCTAGGAACTTCTACTGATTTATACCCATAAATACAATAAGTGTCTTTATTATGCTGCCAAGTTTCAGAGTAAATCACGTTTAATTATCAGCCGTGGTAGAGCAAAAAAAAAATGGATTCAGCGTACCTAAATTATGTAAAAAGAGACTACCTGCTTGTACTAAAAAATGCTGTTAGACTCTTAACGGAGGGTCTTTTCTGAAAATCAAACCCGTCTAATTCAAAACAGTCTGAAAGCCTTACCGTTATATTATATGATTATTTAACATGTGTAAGGAGCGGGGTAATACTTTTAAACATATCTTATAGGACTATCAAATAATAAATTATTGTGATCAGACATTTACAAAACTTAAAAATAATGACGATGATGATAATAATAATAACAATAATAATAATAATAATAATAATAATAATAATAATAATAATAATAATGATAATAATAAAAAAAAATAATTATAATAATAATAATAACAAATTGATGTCTCCATGCGCATGTACAACCGGAACGCGAAAAAGCGAAAATGTAACAATGCAAAATGTAACAATCCGAAAATGTAACAATGCGAAAAAGCGATAATGCAACAATGCGAAAATGTAACTCTGCGAAAAAGCGAAGAGACGACAGATGGAATGCGAATATACAACAGATTTTATGTGTCTTATTTTCGTCCTCCTTCTGTCGTATTTTCGCTTTGTTGCCTCGAAAATGCAAAAAAACACGAAGAGACGACAAAGTCCAACTTTGTTGTCCCTTCGTGTTTTCGCATTTTTAGGCGAAGAAGCGAAAATACGACATGTCGTAAATCCGCCACCATACTGGGTAGATATTGATTAAAACACATTTTCTACATTATTTTGTATAAGATTAAAGTTTGATTTCATTGTAAATTAATAAAATAAATTGTAACAAATGTTTTACTTGTGTTCATATTTGAATATTTAAACGGATGAACGAAACTACTACTGTTCATGCACATGTTTTTTATAGCCAAGTTACGCTTGTGACACTTTTTTTTTAGTAGAGTCCTCAATATGTTTCAACTCGTTCAATAAATTCAGTTTAAAAGTTCTTAAACTATTAAAAGTTTTACAATTCATCATTGAGATCACTGTGTAACGTCAGAGTATTTGTTTAGATTGCATAAATGTCTCCTGCCACGCATTATCTATTATTATTGACAAAAGATTAATTTATGATATCACATATTTTCAAAGCAAACATATTCACGTAATGATATAGATACGTGTGACTTTTACATAACTTAAAATAAAAATGTTTCGATATGCAAACTTCTTAAGTTTCAAGTACCACACAATATTAGTTATTATGAGTATTTGTTTATAAATGTAACCAGATGTTAACATTTTCATATTATTTAAATCATCACAACACTAAATGGAGAAAATTGAAACCACTGTTAAACATATTATATATAATAAATCATAGTACATTGTAACTATGTGTTCAAAAGAAGTTATATATAATGAAAACTAAACTTTGAAATAATATATAAAACTAAACTTTGAAATAATGTAAAACTAAACTTTGAAATAATGTTATCAACATATTGTTGTTGTTGTTGTCGTTGTTTTCCCTCCTTTCTCTCTCTCTCTCCCCCCCCCCTCTCTCTCTCTCTCTCTCTCTCTCTCCTCTCCCTCTCTCTCTCTCTCTCTCTCTCTCTCTCTCCCTCTCCCTCTCCCCTCTCTCTCTCTCTCTCTCTCTCTCTCTCTCTCTCTCTCTCTCTCTCTCTCTCTCTCTCTCTCTCTCTCTCTCTCTCTCTCGATCGAAACATGTCAAACATTTGAGTATGTGTAGCTGACCTGAAATAAGATTCAGCAACAGCGCATATAAAATCAGTCATTACCTTTTCTTGTCGACAGAAAGCGATAACACTCTATGACGCTTCAAAAAATCAGTATGATTTTTCAAACAGCTACCACAAAGATATTTTCCACGGGGTTCACATTTTGTGCAGAAATGTGTTGCAGATCGAAATTGTTCTGTTTTTATACAAATAGAGCAAACCTCGTCCTTGGTAGAGTACTGCCCAATATTATGATCTGTACTTGTTAGTGATATAACTGATTGGTCGTCACAGGTTGTGCTGACAACAGAACTGTTTGCTTCTTTACATGTAAGGAAAGATTCCGAATCATTTTTTTCTTCCTTCGGAAACATTTTTAAGTCCTTTTCCGCCATTATCGAGCAAATGCTTAGCTTACAAAATCACACAAAAATAAATCAGTCAGTATACGTAATAGTGTATTACATGTGTTCAAAAATAAACTCGGTAAACATAAACTTTTAAACCTCGTTATCAAAAACATTTCATTACAGCCATAAATATAACGTTTATTGCTGGATCGGCTAGATTCATCTCTTTTGTAATGAAATATTTTGAAATTTTTGACACGGTTGTTATTATCGTAATAATAATAATAGTTGATGATGATGATTATAATGATAACAAAAATGCTAATCATCTTCGTCATCATTTATTTTAGACAGCGCATTTATTTGGCGCAATTTATCCATACAATATGAAAATAACAGGATATAATGAAGTAATATCTACGCAATACATCTAAAAAAAATCAGCTCTAAATCACGCTCCGCATTTAGATCTGAGCGTAACCATAAACGAAATTATTTCTGATGACTTTTCACACGTCGAGCTTCAATAATTTTGAAAGCGATGTGGTTCCACTGAGTAGGTAATATTCACGATCTTGAGATCAACATATAGCCGACAGGTAAACTGGCCCAATAAAATGTTTTTTCAAGTATTATTTTTAACATTTTTTTCTAACAAAAAATCAACAATTTGTTTAACTTTCAGGTATAAAGGTATTTTTATGCTTCTTTTAATACCTTTGAAAAAAACTGGTTTGATTGCATGGCTAAAAATAGCTTTCTCGCGAAATCCAAATAATAAAGAAGGCGAAACATAAACCGTCGTCATTAGATCTACATAAAAGAAGTAAGTAGATCTGAAATCTATAATACTGATATGATTGTTTACTTTTCGCATAATCGGAACATCTCGGTTATTTTTCTTAATACCTTGGACTTGATTCGTTCTACAATGTAAAACTAATGTATATATTTGACATCCAAAGGAAAATATAGTTTATTTCGGTAAAACTATAATCGAAAATATGTCTGAAAATCTTAATAAATTTAAAAATGCCTAGTGACGTAGAATGATAACAGATACGAATTTATCTAAGTCGGTAGACATTTTGTACTTTCGGTTTCTTAATGCGTGTGCGTGTGCGTGCGTGTGTGTGTGCGTGTTTATGTTTGTGTGTTATAAGATATATAGTGAACCTAAACAATCTTATTGTCAAAAACCGCTAGTTTATTTTCAACCAAACTTGGCAGGATGGATGAAGTTGTTCATAAAAATCTGGTTGCCATGGAAAGCAAAATGAATTATAAGAATTTTTTTTTATTTTTTTTTTAATTCTTGTAAAGAACGTCTAGAGCATAGATATTTTGCAGAAGGCATTTTCTGGTACACTACTAACAAATTGTTGATATTATAGCGCTGGGGTCAAAATTGGCCCAGCCCCAGAGGTCATTGATTTTCACTATGGACATAAAGTAAAAAATAGAAAACTCTTCTTGGCTGGTACACAGCTTAGAGCTTTGACATTTGGTATATGATATCATGTACAGGTCCTTTACTTCAAAATTTGACCCATAGTGTCAAAATAAACCCCGCTCCGGGGGGGGGGTCATTGGTTTCCTTATATGTATATAGTAAAAAACTTCTTCTCTAAATTGACAATGGTTAGAAGTTAGATATTTTGCAGGAAACATTGTGTAGTGGACTGCCACCGAGTTTGTTCAAATTATAGCCCCGGGGTCAAAATTGACCCCGCCCCGGGGGGTCATTGATTTTCACTATATACATATAGTAAAAATTTGTCTGAATGTCTGAAAGCTTTGTTATTTGGTATATAATATCATCTATAGGTCCTCTACCAAAGTTTTATAAAAATGTTTTCAAATTTTGCCCTTTGTATCACAATTGGCCTTGGGATCAAAGATTTTCTTATATGTATATAGTTAATACGTGAAAAATCTTATTCTCTGAATTGACAAAGGCTAGAGATAGGATATTTTGCCTGAAACATTGCAACCTGTACAAAGATTGTTGAAATTATAGCCCTAGGGTCAAAACTACGGAAGCCCATTGAGGCCGTTTTGAGATAGAAGTTAGAACTTAGATGATAGATCTTAGAACTCAGATCTTAGAACTTAGGTCTTAGCTCTTTAGAACTTAGAATTTAGAGGTTTCGTATGGGCGGGAACACGCCATATTTACTGCAAGATAGACAAGAAGATGTAAATGAGATCAACTTTTTATTACATTTCTTTAGTTCTATTTTTTTTATTTTAAGAATTGCAGAGAAATAGCTAGAACGTTCAAAGATTAAGTAAATATATATTATAAATAAGGACCGGGTAAAAAACAACCAATTTCAATAGGAGACAAAGGTCGAACAAGCTTTCTCATCAAGCAGGGACAAATTAAAATCATAAGTAGCTATTTAAGCCAGTTGTAGCTATTTTAGCCAAAACTGGCTACCAAAAAATCTTCGATGGCGGACACAAGCTTTGAAACTGATATATCTGTTGCGTGTATTAATGTAATTCCCCAATTATCAAATTTTACCTAATTGTGTATCTTATAGTTTTATAATCATTAAAAAGGTCGGTTTTCTAATGTGTATTAAAATGATTTCATTATTTTTCCTATTGCAGAATCTTCTTTATTCCTTTTTCGGACGACGAAAATGGTTTCTACATGGGCATGGATGTTTGGAATTGTCTATTATAACATCATTATAACATGGATTTAGCTGTCATTCTCAGAGGAGGGGCAAATTTAACAAGCCCTGACTAAGAATAACTTATCCATAATTTATTTTACAAGTATATTTACTAATGCTGAAAGCTAACAAAATTATCTAACGCAAAACACGTACACCAAAAGACGATGGAAGGGATTCCATTATTGTAGTAATCCAGAGGAGTGCCAAGTGTGTAGGTTTCGATCGATGTAGCACAAAATGTAGACTGACTACCGGTTGCAATGTGTAGAAATTTTGTGATGAGGCTATTGCCACAAAGCAATCCCAAAGAAAATAATGGACGCAAATCACACCGATTATCTCGCGAAGATATGTCTCGAAAGGTCTTTTCTTTGTGTGGCATGTAAATGGTTACGACAAATTAAAGCTATATGGATTCTGCATCCACGGAGCAACAACTCGCCCGAATTAATAGCGTCATATTGCCTTGACACATTAAACTAATTAGGCGTTTTACAGAACTGTATATCCAAGTTCTTAGTTCATCGTTCTGGTTTAATTTCAAGTTCATGTGCATGTATGTTTTGAATATAACTGACGGATTAAGAAACGCTATATTTTCTTAAACTTTTAACAAAACGTTTAAAAATAAGTATTTTGTTAATTCTTTATTTTCGATGTTTTATTTCATCTGAACCATGCTTACAAGAGCATCAATTTTTTCCCTTAGCAGCCTTGGTTTAGAGTTTCTTCAATATAAGGGAAAATTGTTAGATATGTACTACATTTTTAAATGTTCATTTTGTTAAGATTTTCAAGGTTAAAATTACTTTAATTTATAGGGTTACAAATTGTGTATGATTTTGTTTTAGGTTTTTAAAAACATGATATGATTATTCATTTTGATATCTTTTTTCAATGTAGATAAGATTTGCTTGTTTCAGGTTTTGTTCATATCGTTCGTCTGGTGTGTATTTTTGAGATTTTAAAAGGTTCGTTCGACATGACGTCGAGTGAAGTAAGAAGCCCGCCATTAAAAAAGTACTAGGTGGCTCTGTGTATTCATATTTATTTCTTCAGAATAATTCTTAGCATATCATCCGTGAATAGCATAGCTGAGCATGAGGTATTATGAGTTCAATTTTCCATTCAACAATATGCACCATTTTATTATGATTATTTAAACATAAGCTTATGTTACATTTCCATTTGGCTCATATTCAAACACAACCATCCTAGTGGTAAGAACTTTCTTTTGTCCTTTAAATTTTCAGCCTTTTACCACGAATTTTATTAAACTCAACATTTCTTGAGAAATACAAGCTTTTAGTTTGAACCCAAACGTATCAATTCTTGACTACTTAAACTTCAAGAAAACATGACATGGAGACATCTTACTTAGATAATTTTCTTAAATATAAGGTATGCCCATGTCCTTTGTAAAAAATCAGTTTCTGACTAGTTAAAAGCTTAATATTTAGTTTATCTCGACATTTCGTTATCTCGATATTATTGACAGACCCGATGACTTCGAGCTAACGAGAGTCGGCTGTATTATCTTTAACTTCTTTCTTCAAATATATGGTTTGACATAAAGAGACTATATGGCTTTGACCTAAAGATGACCTTGATCTAAAATAATATTTGTTTATTACATTTACCAAAACTGAGTATTTCTTGAGCTGTTTTGGCTTATATTTACATATACTTCTTTGAACAAAAGGCCGACACACACACGCACGCACAAAACAACAACAATCAATAAACGTTCTGCATATAAACCAAAAATGCTTTTGCAACCTGTGATTTGCCTCATCACAGCGATTTAAGGCAACATGCAACTATAGCCACAATAATTGCATGAGGGTTTTATAAAATCGCTATGGATTCTTTCATTATTTTTTGCACGCTTTATATCTAGTATTATAGCTTAGCCAACTTATACAACAATTGCTTGATAAGCCAGTATTCGGTACCCTGCCAATTTGACGATTATAAACTTAAATTGTTAGATTATATTGTTTCTATTCAGTAATGAAATGTCCTTGTGAATATACTGATGGCCACAATTTGAACACCATCAATCATTTGTGCAGAATTATGCACTTTTATCACCTTAGGAAATTGTAGCAAATGACACTTTATTTCAATACTTTTAATATACTTATTTATCATGGTAACACTAATCAGTATTAAAACGCTGATAATTTCATCAAATATTGATACAGAAGTGCACTTCGTTAAAATTAGGCAATGGTTATCTTTTATTGAAGTGGCCACTGTGATCTTGACCTGGTAGAACTGGAAACACGGAAGAATTAACTTGTTACTGGTGAATTAACAAACAGCCAGACTTTATACCTAGATACTAATTTAGAAACCTTTTATGTCGTCTGGAAAAGGGATGAAGAAGATTCTGAAATAGGAAGAATAATCAAATTATTTTAATACACATTAGAAAACCGACGTTTATTTATTATGATAAAACTAACAGATACACAATTTAAATTTGATAATTGATAATTACATAAATATAGGCAAAAGATATTAGGGTCAACGCTTATGCCCCTCGTCGTAGATTTATTGGTAGCTAGGTTCGGCTAAAATAGCTAGAACTGGCATAAATAGCCACTTATGGAGTTTGTACCAGCCTGTTAAAGATATCTTTGCCTCCTATTGAAATTGGTTGTTTTTTACCCGGTTCTTATTTATAATATATAATCACTTAATCTTTTAACGTTCTAGCTATATCTCT